GCCATAAAGAAAAATACTTCCTTTACTTTTAGAGAATTCCCATACAAGTTTCTGTTGGCAGCATTTCAGAAGAAAAGGCCCTGCTTGAGTGTGAGGCAATGAATATCTTTTGTGAGGGCACCTGGTAGCAGTAACTTGAAAATAAATTTATACTAAAGCAGTTTTTTAGAATTTTGCTAACAATTAATCTGATTAATTTCAGTGTTCTGCAATTCTTCTGTAATGAGATCCTTTAATTTAATCCCTGCTGTTTTAGCTGCTAAATTAACAATGTTATTATTTTATTGTGTCTCTGTATGCATTTAAAGTTGTGATTTTTGCTATATATCACTTTGTGAACTGCTGCTATAAGGCACATAGGCAATTGTGTGTGTTTGTGTGTGTGTGTGTGTGTGTGTGTGTATGCACATGTATGCAGGTTATCTACAAAACTGAGACTGCATTCTTATTCACAGTGATATGGGATGGAATTGCATCTGCATTGCATCATAAATCCAGTTATTAAAGCTTACTTCAGATTCTACTCTGAATGAATCATATTCTCTGATATCTTCTGAAACAGTCTGTCAAATACTTGCCACACAATTGAGACACCCATGCAGTTGGTCCTGACTATGTGGTACTGCCACATTTCAGAAATCAACATTTAATTTTTAAAATCCTTATTACTCGAACTCCAAAGATATTTGGCATGCAAAGTAAGCATCAATGTTTTGCATCATCATATTTATAAAAATGCATCCGGGTTTCACATTGTTCCCATTTGCGTAACTGGAAAATAAAAATGGTGGTGATTTTAATCCCATACCTGGTAAGTGTGTTTACCTATTCCGAAAAGACGACAAATGTAATGAACGGCAGACAACATTTCATGACGGGCACTTTATAAGCTTATATAACATACTATTAACATTCCATACAAGTCCAAAAGCCCCCAACAGTTGCTTAGCTCAGTTACATTCATGCACATATTGAAGATAAATAGCATTACACGTTGTCAAAAATGAATATATCCAGTCTGGAATGTGTGTGAAGATGATTACTCCTGTTGTATTTTATTCACCAATGAATTGTTTTCTTGTATCTGTTTATCATCCCAATTTTAATTGTTAATTGATAATCTTTTACTGTGATGTATAATATTGTTTTCTGCTATAATGTAAGATGCCCTGAGGTATTTGGACAAAGTCATAAGGTAGGATATGAATAAATATCTTCTCCAGCACAATTCTGATCATTCCTTTTGTCAAGCTGGCTGCCAATTGAATCTATACCAATTGAATCTAAAATATAGCTCTTTATTTTTTATTATTTTAAAGCAAATAATTTCTTTAACAAGTACAATAGGCACAGGAGAGTCAATATACAGATTCAGTAAATTACAGATATTGCCCAAAGTTAATTTATACTTGTCTTTCCTTTACAAATAGCTAATGCATTTTTATGCAGCCTTTTCTAAACTTTTTCCTATATAATTGGTTCCTTTATGACATGGACCTAATCTGCTAGAAAGCTATCCTTCCTGAGAATTGATCGTGTCCTTCATTTTAACTAATTCCAAGGTACTTTAAAAAATCCTAATAAATGTTCATGTAAAAATGAACATTTGGAAATCACAATAATGTTCCCAATAATGTTCCTAATTCCTATTCTCATGGCTAGGGAATGACTGCCTGTAATGGAAATCCTGCTGTACTGGAGAAGAAACATACTGCCATGAATAGTATCCCTGGAAAATGTCTAATTACATCAACAAGGCCTTGTCACTGAAGGATGGCTGGAATAAAGATGCTATCTGGTTATATCTGTAATTGCCTACCTGATGACGATTGTATTTAGTTTTTTAATAGAGCCACTCTAGAGGTGTGCCACACTTTTGTAACCCAGCAGGAGCCTTCCAGCTGCAGAATGCCTGGCAGCTACCTCTCTCAGAAAGAAGGCGGGGTGAGGATAGTGTAGAAACCTCTGGAGGAGCCACTGTCCTTGACAGCCTTGACATACTTAGTCCCTGGATGACACTTTGCTCCCATTGCTTCCAGATACATACGCATGGCTAGTACAGGCATACCTCATTTTATTGCGCTTTGCTTTATTGCACTTCACAGATATTGCACTTTTTTTAACAAATTGAAGGTCTGTGGCAACCCTGCATTGAGCAAGTCTATCAGATTATGATTAGCATTTTTTAGCAATAAAGTATTTTTTAATTAAGGGATGTACATTGTTTTTTTAGACGTAATGCTATTGCACACCTAACAGACTACAGCATAGTGTAAACATAATTTTTATATGCACTGGGAAACCAAAAAAATTGTGTGACTTGCTTTATTGCGATATTTGCCTTATTGCGGTGGTCTGGAACCGAACCCACAATACCACTGAGATATGCCTGAATATGAAAAGGCTCCCCAACAACCTATTCATCTTGGCTCAACAATAATGTCTGGGGCCACACCTCATGTTACGTAGTTGCTGTGTGGTGAGACACAGTGTAGTAGATTAAGTATCTTCCTTATGGTTGAATTATTTTTACCAGATATCCGGGAGTAAGTGTTGCTGATTTCAATGGAATTTACAGCTAATTCGGTGTATCTGGATTTGCAGTATAAATCTAACAAATATCCAAACAATGAAACTTTCAGTTCCATAGTTTATCAATGCGTGGATTGGTTATCAATGCATAAGACAAGCATTTCTGAGTTTGCAATCAGTTTACAACATAACAGGATATCTCACAAAATGGAAAAGGAATTTCTGGAAAACATAGTGTGCAGCCAAATTTTAATTTAAGTATATAACCTCATACTATGATTTAAATGCTATTTCTGTTGAAATCAATTAGCTCCACAGTTAATGACATTCTAATATATGCTGGCTTCTTGGAATTATTTTATGTGGAAGGGCTTACCAAACCAACACTTTTATATATCTAGGCCTTGAGCCAAAACAAATGGGATCAGATTAAAATGTGATCCTCTTAATCTCATGTATTAAACAATAGTATTCTCACCGTAAGCATCAATACCTTCCTTTTTAAATCTTCAGAGAGGGAGGGCAGAGAAGGCAAAGTAAATGCAGAAGTTTTAGCCTCCAAAAGAGGTGCCAGGGTGGTGTTTCTTTTCTTTAGCCAAGAACTATTTTGCTTGGCTTGCTATAGCTTGGGTTTGATGGCAGAAAAAACGCAACAACAACTTGCCAACCGCCTAAGATTTAATAAGCTGTGCTGCAGATGCTATTGCTTTTTGGCACATCACGATCCCTGTACAGCACACAGCAAAGGAACCAGAGGTTTTCTTTGGCTGATGTGGTCAATGCTTTTGGCTAATATCTGCACTTTGAGCCAACCGAGGGTATGTTTAGAGAGTGTGGTTTTAGCTGAGGTGTTAAAAAGGCTTGGGTTGGCTACCTAGCCAGCATTTATACTGAGGGAAAGATGAGACCATTCATGTCTACCCAAACAGGGCATGAAACCTACTGGCAGGAAAGCATTTCCCTTTACCCCATATGGCAGCATGACAGGAACGTCAAAGGTGCACAATGGCTTCCTTCCAAACCAGCACTAAGCAATTATAAGCCAGTGATGACAATACGAGGTGCTAGGTCAGCCTTTCATCCCAATAGGGAACCATCCAAGGGCGCTGGCATGTCACCCCGCTCCTAATGTGCATTCAGCTGAGAATTCTAGAATTTGCAATCCGTACCAAATCAGGAGGGTTTCATGTTGGGGAAGGTTAAGCTTCCTGAGATTGGGAGCCTTAGCTTCTCATTTAGGCAAGCTACTTTGGTGGTTTGTGCACGTGCCTGTCTCTAAGGAATTTGATCCTTACAAAAACCTACATAAACTGATATAGTCTACACTTCCCAAACTCATGTAAGGATCAGAACATGGCTATCCATTCTCTGAATGCTGCAGTGTACTTCTTAACTCAAATAGCAGTATTTATTTAAAGACTTATACGGCCACCCATCTTGTAAAACACAGCTCTGGGCGGCTCACAACAATAATAAAAACCGCAACAATACTAGAAGACCAAAGACAATAAAAAACAGGTGCCTGAGCCACAATCTCCAGTAGCATAACAATTAGTGTAGTTCACTTGCAAATGTGCATTGGAAAGAAACATGCACTTAAATATGTATTTGAATTTTCATGCAGATCCTTTTTTAAATTGCAGATGAATCAGGAAACTGATGGATAGTGACAGTGATAATGAACACACACAATAGCAAAAATAGAAATGTAGTTTTACCATAATCTACTAGTCTGGGATCCACTCTATAGGAGCAAGCCATGTAGAAAGCTACTAAGACAGACAAACAGCAAATGCGTATTCATAGACAAGAGTATCAAACCCTTTGATACTGGAAACAAGATTCCTGCAGTTTTATCAGCCTTTAGATGACCAGGTCTGCACTTAATGTTTTGTGTATGGGTGTGGTATCTGAGGACTATAGCAAGGGGGGCAATGACACTGAGTGGGTAAGGCTAAGATTTCCTTTTTTCCCCCCTTTGTCTTTTTGTGGGGAGAATGAGAATTGTGTTTTTATACCACAAAGCCTATTTTAGGATTTACACCATACTTTCTGAACATTTCCCATCTCAAAAGTAGTAGGAATTATGCCATCAATTTCAGCAACTAGAGCCAGAAATGGTTCTAGAGGTGCAGGTGTTGCAAATGTTACTAGTACCTGGCCTAGATTAGATCAGCCACTACCACAAACATGCAGAGACAGAAACAAAGATATTAGGCTGTTTCATTGCCATCAAATATTTTCCTCATCCACTACTCCAGCATAAAGTGATAGCTAAACATCCAATTCTTAAAGTTCTTTGAAAAAATGATGATTGTCAAGATCTGAAGCTGTGAAGACTCAGGGAGCAACCCAAGCACAAATAATCATATAGCTAGAAACAAGGTACTCACTTTGTCCCCAGCAGACGGAAAAAGCATACAACTATTTTAAATAGGACAATATAAGTAAGTGTTTCAACATCTTACCATTTTAGCTTCTGAGTGCATTGGAGCAATTTGTGGTGAAGCACATGGATTACTGAGGTTTGGGCTTTGCATTCCCATGATACTGGAGTTCATGGACATCTGTCTTTCCATCTTGAGAAGAGAACAGAGAGAAGAAATGAGTTTTGGCGCATTTGAAAGATAAATGTAAAGATCAAAGGCATTTTCAAATGGCATGTTGTTTTTCTTTAAACAAGCAAGAACTAAGCTATTGGTGAACATGAGAATAATTCTATAGGAAAAGGCTTATCTAGTTCAATGTTTTGTTCCATTAATGGCAACCAGCTACTTCTGGGAAGTTGACAAACAGGACTTGAGTTGACAGCATCTTTCCACTGATTGGAAGCATCTTTCCACTTTCTGTGTCCAATCAGGATGGTACTACCTTTGTTGATTGTCTTTAGCACAGGAAATAAAACATACATTATTTTTGATTGGGTGACTACTTTGAAAGAAATCCCTCTTTTCACTAGAAGTACAAGGTCACCTAGGTTTGAGACTTTTTATAATAATTCCTTTATTTTAAAAATTAACCTAGGTTAAGTGATCTCTAAAATATCTCTGAAAGAAATTATGGTTGATGCTGATCTCAATGATCTAGAGTATTTGAAAAGTGAAGCTTTCCTAATTGAGTTGTTAAATCTGATAGGAAAAAAAATCCACATGTCTACCTGAAATTACAATGCTAATTCAGAAGGTAAAGCTAAAAAGATATTCCTGCAATGCAACAGTTTTGGGCAAGCCCAAATAATTCTTTGATCAGACCCTGGTAGATTTAATTGTATATACAATACAGGCACCAGAGCCAAAAATAAATAAATAAATAAAAATACTATTTTTCATGTCTGATATTATACACGTAGAAAACAAATATACTTACTGGCATCAAGACAGCAGAGGATCCAGGCATTGTAGGATTAGGTAAAGTCCCAGGCATAGAAGCAGGCATGGGCTGTCTTTGACGGTTGTGCAGGTGTAGCAGTGATGATAAGGAGCCTGGAACAGGCCTAGGAAAGAAGAAGATGGGGGAAAGGATTAAATATAAAACTTCAGGAGAAAACAACCACACATTCAAAGATTCATATTTCAAAACTGTGAATGTAAAATTAACATGTTGCATGACAATACTGAGATGATAAAGGTCCAGAATAAAGGCTAATATCAGAAGAATTCTCAAGCCCTTCCTCCTCAGCTCAGCTTTTTGGAGATATTACATGAGAGATCAGGGACACGCTAAATAAGTAAGATTGATCCGAAAGGAATGGGAATTCCTATAGGAAAGACAGAGAACCTTCAGTCAGAACCTACCCTCTTTCCCCTTTAATCCTCTAGAACCCTACTTGTCTTACTGAGAAAGGCCCTCTAGGAGATTGATGTGGGGTGAATGGGTGGGATAATCCTTTCTTTCCAGCCAAGCTGCACATGACTAAATGGGTCTCAATCCAATGATTCTCTGTAACTTCCAAGTTCAAGATACTGTTTTAAAGTTTTGATGCAAATATGAGAATTAGTACAGAATTTGTGTTTGAAATACTATCAAATATCTCCATGAAACAAAGCCATATTTTCCGATAGCAAAACTTTGAGACCTACCTCATTTTACAGTGGTCATTTTACAATACTTGATTAGATCCTCCAGTATTTCAAATTATTTTTGAACAGAAACTTTGCATTAATAGTTTGAATTTAACTATAATGCTGAAAATCCACTTAAATATTTTAGTGAATAACAGTTTGAATTTGATTAACTTTAATGCTGAAAATCCGCTTAAACATTTTCCAGATTTAGCAAACCACATTTCTTCCTTTTTTAAAAACTGTAATATTCTTTCCCAATACTGGCAGAAATTGTGAAAAACATCAGCTTAATACATGCAGCATAAAATATAAATAGGTGCTATAAATTGATTAGCACATCTCTTGTCCAAGTGATTACATATAAAATCAGGAATCTGTTAACCAAAGATCAACCAAAGTGTCTGTGAAATCAACAGGGAACTCAGAATAAAGTGTTTAAAAGGTATGTATATTACATCAGTGTAAATAAATGTATAAAGCTTGTTGTCCTTTGCCTATTTAGTTTAAAGCAGTCATATTCTACTCTGCTATCTTCTGTGATACCAGTTCAAAGATCTTGAAACGCATATGCGCATAAGTGCTTTTAGCAGCATTTTCAAAGTAGCAGCTTCCCCAACCACATTGCAATTAGTTTTCAAAATACTGTCTTATATTCAACTAATTATGAGAGCGGAAGAAAGACTGATTTTTTTCTGATATACAACCATTTTTTTGGACAATTTTCTAGATTCTCCAGTTTTCTGAACAGCGTCAACACCTGCAACAGATTATTCTTTCTGAGATACCAGATTTTTATGTTTTCAAAACTGGCAACCCACAGCATTGCTAGTTCCTTTTACGATTAATTAGTAAATATGAATGAATTAATAAGCAATTAATAAAAATAATGCAAAATTATGGCACTGGAGTTTTTAATCCTTTAGCAATTCCAACCTTAGAAAATTCATTGTGCAGAAAGGAAAAAAGGAGCTAGTTAATTTACTTTTCTTGATCACGATGCCTCTAGTCACATAACAAGTAATATGTTTTGGTATTCCTTGGGGTGAAAGCCACCCTATAATACTGATTGCAGGAGCAGTGGTGCAACAAATCAAAAACACACAGCTAAAAGGCATGTACTAGTCTGAGCTTCCACAGTGCTAGTAAACTACATGATCTACAAGCCTGTTTTCTTTCCTCACTAATATTTGAGATGTTGTGTATATTATACTTTTTGGTATGGGAGGCATGTTTCTCAAGTTGACTTACAAAGCAAGTAGCCTCCAGGATTGATTGGAAGCCCTTTATAGAAGCTTTAGTTTCATGAGATATTAAGTCATTTGACCAAAACCTGCTTTGGCCTGACTTGTGTCATTTGCACAGATAAGCCTTGGGAGTCCCTCTTGCTGGAATTTTACTTACATGTTCCAGAGCCAAAACGTTCTGCAAGTTTGATTTAATGAGACTGGGAATAGGGGCTTTAAGTAAAAGGGAAATTATTTGTATATGTTAAAAAACAGCAAATTAGCTACTTCGTTGTCTTCATCTTGAGCCCAAGCTCTGCAAGTCTGAGTATGTTTTGTACTTGGGGAAAGACTGGTTTTGCTGCTATTGTTTTTTTCTTGGTAGCACATTGGGACTTTTCAAGGTTTTCCTAGACAGAAAAATGCACACTTCTGAATATCACAGGTCATTTTTGTCAGTACTCCAATAATACAAGAAAAATGATTATACACAGTCTATCACTTATATTGGTAAGTGATGATCATAAGTCTTACAGTGTCAGGTGCAATAAGTTGTATGTTTGATATCAAAGAAATCTAGTGTCTAGAAAATGGGTACTAATAGACATATACCTCTACAAATCCTGAAGTCATCTTCAGGGGTTTCTCCAAGTTTTCCTACTAAATGCAGTTCAGCAGATGGTTACAAGCCTTAAGTTCTATAGAGCATCTTTTCCACTCCTTAGTCTTTCCAAAATGTTTTGAAGGTGAGCATGTGCTAACTAAAAACAGGCATAAACACCTTGTGCTAATCAGTCCTCCCTTCAGCTGACAAACAGGAGAGTGGAAGAATCATTATGAAATTAGTGTGTTGCCCGCTGAGCTACAGCAATTCCTCATGTAAACAAAAATCCCATCAACTTCTCTTTATATAAAACAAGCAAACAAATAAAGAAATTGATATTCTCCTCTCCCTCCATCCCCTTCCTTCCCCCCGCCCCCATCCTATGTGGACACTTTGAAAAAAAGCTTCAGCTGCTGTTATAAAGGAAAACTGTCCTGACTATCAAAACATTATTTTTCCCACATATACATTCTCAATGTTATATTATATTTTACAGCCCCTTTTCCAAGCATCTGAAAGTTTGCAATGCAGACCTGTTTGAGTGGGAGAGGACTGTAATGGTCCATTTGGGCCCAGAGTCTTCAAAGTGAGATAAGGCAAGAGTTAGTTTTGCACTGATGATGTAAGCAAGGAAATTCAAGCTAAGTGGTTATTTAGAAGAACTGTAAAACTGTCTAGAAACTAGCTGGAATAATTTAGAATAGTTTGTCATCTATTAACAGGCACACATGATGACTAAGTCAACAACAAAAACCTGAATACAGAATACTGTAGCATGCAAGGACTGCCAAGGGAATGAATAAAAACTTTGGGTGAGGATTTTTTTACTGGGACAATGAAGAAAAATAACTCTTGAAACCTGCTCTTCCTGTACTCTACTCTTTATGAAAATAATACTCTTGCAAATAAATCTGTTGTTTATTTCAACTGAAGTGATTACAAGTGTATGTATCACATCTAGTTTGCCCTAGAGCTATATTCTATACATTTAAAAACCTAAATTATTAAACTATTTCTTTATCAAAAAGAGATGGGGGGGAACATCTTCTTTCCCCATTAGTATTGCAAGGTGTACTACTCTATCATTGCCTTATTTTAACTCAAGATACTTCTACTTTAGGTATTTGGAGGGAAATCATTTTCTTGATTCACACTGTTAATTTTTTACAGAAAGGTACAGTATGTAAACTTTTCTCTAAACCTGGTTTTATTGTAAGTCATATTCTAAATAATTTTCAAGTGATCATATATTTCAACACTTCCTAAACAAAACAGAAGTTTTCCTCTGAAAATTAGAAAGTAAATTACTGTAGACTCATGAAAACAAAGACTCAACAGTCTCTCCAGTGCAGGCTTGTTACCATGAGCTAATAATTCCAGACTTTAAGCAAGTGCAGTCTTCTTTTCTTAATCATTGTGTGCCCCTAGGCAAAACATTTCTACTAAAATCCACTGAGGCACAGAACAAGGCAAGGTGTATGAGCTAATATGGGACTGTTCAGCCACTAAACCAACTCGTGTGGCACCCAACGTGTTCTACACTGACAGATTATATCTCCACACACCCTTGTAAAAACACACTGCTTAAGGTTAAAACTTGCTTAAGCTTTGCTTTTCAATTAAAATGTCAAAGATGACAGTTCTTCTGCTGTCCCCCAAGCATTATACATGCTAAGGTCGGAGTAGCAGATTTTCTTCTTCCAGCAGCTACCTGAGATTCAGACAGTGGAAACCCTGATGATAAGAAATAGAGGAACTGTGGATGTATGCAACAAATACTTACTAATCCAATCCTCTGTTCCAGAATTTTAAGGAACTTCAAGAACTAAGGCTGGACTTGGCAGCAAGTAGGTTGGTAAGAAATACCTCGGGTGAAAACCTAGGTGAGCACCAGTAAAACTCTATTGGGGCTAATTCGATAGGGATCTCTGGACTCACAAGATTCCTATGAAACAATTTGGATTTCTAGGCGACAAGCATTATGAAACACAGCGTGAGCACTGTACTGAGAAGACTGTATAATTGAATAATAAATTATGAAATGGACTGAATGAATAAAACTAAGTAAGCAATAGGTTATAGATAAAAGATTGGATTCAATTATGGCTAATATAAGCCTCACTGACAGACATAGATGTTCTTATGCTTAACTATGGATTGTATGGATCCAATTCAATGTATTGGACTTCTATTAAGAAAGCTTAGATGCAAATCCCTGCTGAGCCATAAGGCTCACTTGCTGTGTTTGTGCAACACAGCTTCATCAAGGAAAAGATTTTACTCTGCATCCCTTCTCAATCAAAGTTCTCCCAGTTACTACAAAAGAATCAGCCACATTTGTTTTTGTTTAATTTCTCAGGCAATTTTTAAAAGAAAAATATGTAGCAGCCAAATTAGCATCACTATCACTATGGATGGAGTTGAGGGAATGGTTACCCATCCCAACATCCAAGGTGGAACATGAAATGGCAGAGGGTCTGGAAGAGCCCTATTATAGGGCAGGGGCAACGTAGGACTTTCTCTTTTTTCATGCAGCTGATAAGAGGATTAACCTTCCATCAATGTTCTCAACCTACCTACTTGACCCAGATTACTGAGGAGATTGCTTACCTCCCTCCAACACTTCTGCTGACTGGGCTCAATTGTTTCAACAGCATAGTAACTCTCACTGTATTATGTGAACAGGACCACCAAGAGACCACAGGTCAATCATTATTCTTCAATCGGCTTGCAGTAGTACATGTGAAAGTGATCTTGTGTGTCCTTATTGACCACAAGTTGAATATGAGTCAGCAGTGTGATACAGCTAGCAAATATTATTTTGTGGCACACTGACAAGAACATCCAGTAATTGTCACAGTAATTGTTCCACTCTATTCAGTCCTGGTCAGATCCTATTTGGAGTACTGTGTTTAACTTTAGGTGCCACAGTTCAAAAGGACAGTACCAAATTGGAGCAAGTTCTGAAGAGAGCTACCAAGATGGTCTGGAAAATAAGAGCTATGAGAACAGTTAAAGAATCTGGATACTCTATATTTAGCTAGAGAAAAGTCGACTAAGGGAAGATATGACAGCAGTCCTCAAGTATCTGAAGGGTTTTCACACAGAAGAAATGGATTTATTCTCCACTATCCTGGAGGCAAGACTAAGGAGGAACCATCAGGCTAGACATTGAGAGGAACTGCCTGACTGC